ATTACAAAACTTATATTACTAGTTACTACACTTTATTACTACACTTTATTCCTAGCGTTACAGTTCTTGCTACCCATTGTTTCAAACCCAGTTACTGTTGATACGATAATAAACTGTAAGGAGTTGACTTGAAATATGATAGGCTTGTTTGTATGTAGAACAGTGCGGAGAGAGAGAAGACACCTGTTAGCCAGTAGAGAACAACACCGTCATCATGCCAATGTTCGGCAGCAAGAATAAGGGTGAGTCTATGGTGATTATTTGCACTGATCTTAGTCAGTTGTTTTACTTCTTACAGCTGTTAACGTTCCTGGCTCCAAGTTATACATTTTCCATGAGTGAATGTTTTACTCTAAAACTTTGTTATTTTTCAATTTGGAGTTGGATTATTTTGAGGAAACGATGTAACAGAGTCGATATATTTTAATGTTGCCATAGGGTGGCAAGTCCCCATACATCGTGGTCCGGTAGTTTCATTGCGTCTCAATATATGGGACAAGACAATTATATATTATATTATATTAATTATATAATAGACGCTGAAAATCCCGGTTTATTAGAAATTATAAATCCCGGTTTATTAGAAATTATAAATCCCGGTTTATTAGAAACTAGAGATCCCGGTTTATTAGAAACTAGAGATCTCAGTATCACAATTCACGAAGACAATAGATCCAGTATAGCAGGGTTCATAAGTATGTCTCTAATTTATGCGCGAGTTAATTAACCATAATGTGACAACTATAGAATTCTTAATGAGTGAGCAATTATTAAGTCGCAGGAATTCGAAGCGATATTTATGCGGTATGCTTAGACATAATATTTATCAGGTATTATATACATACTATACCTGCCATACGTGCTCTTCATTGAGCATGTTCGATTATAATAGGCGACTAAATCCAATTACACTCTTTGATGTTACTGTTCAACAGTTTATCAGTAAACGTGTCAATTGCAACTCAGTCTCAGAGGCAACTCTAAGAATTCTGCTCCTTATCTGTAGCTCTTAACTTATAATAAACTCTTCTAGTTTCTGCATAATTATTTCGCTAGTTGACATATGTGATTCCGACCGACAAAGTCTTCTCAGGGTAAAATTCCGTAATTTATGATGCACATGTCACATGGTAAACTATCACTTTAGCATATTTTATCGCCTGAAAAATGCCACCGACCAGACTAGGTATTTACTGCCGATTTACCTGATAATTCACTTCATATCCAACTTTTGCGAGGTTTGCTTCGCAAGCCTTTAGCTCTCTAAACTTGATAACCAACCGTTTTTGATTGCCGCCATGTGAAAAAGCGAATATTTTGCATTTCACATTAGCTTACATCAGTAATGGTAGATTCTTAAAACAGCTTTTATTTTAAACAAACTTACAAAACCCTGCAATAGACTGCCCCTTGTTAATTTTATCAACAACTTATAGATAATTAACATTGTCACACCCCTTACTATCACCTACAATGCTATTAATACCGGATCCAACGGCACCACGAATATCCACATCAGTTGCCTTAATGTTGAGGTTTGTTCTTATGCTCACAGTGTCATCACCTGGCATAACCACAACTCTTCTAAGCTTTCTTGATCCTAGAAACATGTTACTTCGTTCTGGCTGTAAATAAGATAGTGGGCCACCATTTAAACATGCACTGTACGGTACACACGACGCGACGGTGGTGGCAGGTAGAGATTAGTAACACAACTTATAGCTGAGCTGGTAGTAGTACTACGCTGCAAATCTGCAGAGTGCCGCACATACCACATACCGCACATACCACGTGAATAACCTGGAATTAGGCTCATGTCTCCAGAGTCCAGAACTAAGTGCAGTTGACCAGGGCCTTGATAGATGATCCTCACCATTGAGGGCTAGTATAGTGTTACTCAAAAGCATGATAATGCGCGGCGCAACGAAGCGACAACGTCCCCCAAACCAGGGCCGTAGCCATGTTTTAAGTTTGGGAGCGCAGTAAGCACTTTGTCAAGTGATGCCGCGGCTCACCGCGCACTTGCACCCTTGATGTCGCTTTCCCTAGCCAGTACCTTCGCGAAATATCAAAACCTGGGCTAATTGAACAAAAATGTGGGGAAAAAGAGGCCCGGTATAGATAGGTACCCAATATAGAGAGGCATATAGTATTGGTAAGAGGTTTTACCGTAATGGATTTCTCACATTACGGAGCAAAGACATGATTCACTTTTCTTTTTTTTCTTTTTTTTAAAAAGAGGCTGGGCCTGGTTGGCCCACGAGAGGATAGCATATGAATGCTATGGCAGTCCTGTGGGAGGATGCCGGTGGAATTAAGATGCGTAGTCAAGGATGATGGTAAGCGTTGTGGGGTGTGTCATAGATGAACGCTTAAGTGGTGGTTGAGTGTGGAAGAGAGAGGCGAAACAAGACGGCGTTAAAATAGTCGCTATGTTACGCCTGTCTGGTCCAACTCCTCTGGCACAATTAAGCGTTTTGTGTGGTTTGCAAAGTTGACAATGGTGGAGATGTGTTGATTGTCGAATATGTCATTGACAGAGAGGTAGTAGTCCCGGAAATATTGACCTCTTATTTGGGCAATAGCCGATTCACTTGTTAACTGAGGAAGGCATATATCTGGTTTAGGGCTCTTTCTATAGACTTGAATGCTACATTTTTGAAAGCCCCTTCGACGTCTAAGAAGGTTAACCTAGAAGTAGAGACACCCCAAAGCTTATGATTGTCCGTTCTATTTAGTGTACATTTTTGTGTAGAGCTGTCTCAGTTGAGGCACCTTTGACAAGACCGACTTGTATAACAGTTGTGCCCATGGCACTAGCCAGTAGTTACGGGCCAGCAGTTTAGTAACCAGTAAACCTAGCTGAGACCATGCTATCCGGCTACCACAACGTTTAAGTAAGAGTTAACAATAAGCTCAATAAATAACACAATGCACTTAGTCTTCTGGGCTCCTTGTACTGACTTTATGTCTTCGGTACGGTTAGAAAAGCGGTCGACTCAAGAAACGTTAACCACTGCAATTTAGTCAACCTAAAAGTGGTCTTGTAGCGGTTTAAGTATAAACTCGTTGCTTCCATGTGATGTTGTGATATAGCTGTTGACTGTTCGTTTTGCGTTCCTGCCAGTAGTTTGTAAAAGTGCATCACAGCTAGCGGATAAGCCATCTCCGGGCTCCTGAAACTAGTTTATAAACTATTTCAAGCCTCCTGAAACTTGTTTATCAATAATACCTGGCTTTAATTCAGCTCAATATTTCAACCTCACACATTAAAAGGACAAATAACAATTGTTTTATACGACCGCATTGAAACTATTTCATCATAGAAATTAGCGCTGGTGTGATGTTTGGAAAATATGCACTTTCTAAATTTACTTTATTTGAGTATGCACTACGCATGTTGTAAATACTTAACAATTTTATATTATCAAAATTAACATTTTGTCGAATTTAAATTTTCATGATTTAATCGATACAGCCTTGTCAGACTTGGATCGATTAAATTTCAATAGTGCAACAGTAGGGTCTTTAATCTTCATAAATTTGCTGTGTTACAAGTTTATTATACAAGTTTATCATTCGGGACGATGTTTGGTTCCGTTCTTGCATCCATGTTAATTGTTAAAGTGAGTATCATGTGATCCGCCCTCGTTTCCACCCTTGTGTCCTACGCCACCCTGTACTCCACCCTTGTGTCTTATACCAAAACATTTAAGGAGGAGTTAACAATAAGCTCAATACATGAACACAATGATTTTATTCTCGCTGGCTCCAATTGTGCTAATGTGCTTACTTTTTGCGTTTGGTTGGAAAAGCGGTCGACCGCTGCGTTAACCACTGCAAGTTGATCAGCCTTAAATTGGTCGGTTTAAGTATAAATTCGTTTTGAGTGCCTGCCAGCAATTTGTAAAAGTGCGTCACAGCTCGCGGGTGAACCATCTCCAGTATCCCGAAATTGGTTTATAAACTATTTCCATTCTCCTGAAACTAGTTTATCAATATAAGACCTGGTCTGCAGTCGAACACTCTTCTATCTTGTATGTTTTCTTGCGCCTTTAACACAGTCCTCTCTTGATTTGAGTAGCTTGTATAACATCAATTCACAGATTTACTGTAGTTTTCCTGTGTTTTACCTGTATGTGTCTCTGTTTCACGATCGTGATTGTCTGTCTTGCGTCTGTGTCTCTAGAATATACTCTACATCTTAATATAGTTCAATATTTTAACCTCGCATATTTATAAAAGGCAAATAATAATTGCTTTGTACGACCGCATTGAAACTATTTCATTATAGAAATTAGCGCTGGTGTGATGTTTGAAAAATGTGCACTTTGTAAATTTACTTTATTTCAATATGCAGTTGTAAATACTTTACAATTTTATAATCACATAAGTAACGTTTTGTTGTAATTGAATTTTCATAATTTAATGGACATAGCTTGTCGTATAATTGAATCGACTAAATTTCGATAGTGCAACAGTAGTATCTTGAATCTTAATAAATTTGCTGTGTAAATCACATTTTAAATACCATTCACATATTTGAATAACATGGCTGGCAGTTGGTCGGTAGTATGACTGTAAATACAGAATAATGATTAATTATAGCAGCGGATAGCAAACATCGTGTTCAATGGGAGCCGGCACTCAACCAGTGACAAGCAATCTAACTACACCTTCACTCTGAATAATATGCAGACGAAAGTTATCCTTTAAATAAATCTAAAATACCGCATCAAACCTTACAATCATTAAAAGGTGTGTTATATTTTAAAATATGCAGGCCGCAAGACATTCTACAAGTCACCTAATCTCAGATTCAGCTTGGGTTCACGTGACATTATGCGCTTTACAGTGCTGCATCACAAGACATGTAGTCGTGAACAAGTAATAGCTGACCCATACATAATTAATAATTGTTATTTCTTCTTCCTTCACTGCTCTCAAATGAGAGTCCCGTAAATATTCTGCTTCCTTAACCGCACACCGACCCCTTCACTGTTTCCTTGCACAGAGTATATTAGTTGTATTTGGTGGTTGTCTTAGCTGTACTACTAATTCATAATGTCGTCGACCTGGTCGTCTCTCCGATCATCTTTTATTGTTTTATTACAGCCTATACGGGGGTTTCGTCTCAACTGAACTGTTCTCTAGCTGTGATTCCCCCGCCCTTTCCTTTCCACCCCTCCTTCTCCGCCCAAAGTACATAAGGGCCCTTCGTACGTCAATATAATAGAGACTAGAGATCCCGATATAGCAACCAATTTCTCAATATTTGTAGGCCGCATTGTGCGTAGCATCCCTATTTGTAATAAATACTCTTGTTTCCGCGACGATCATTGTCACAATTTGTGCCGTCTCTTTCTCAGCAGCTCTCTCACTCACCGTCTCAGTCGTATTCACTTGCTTGTCTGTTGTGTCAAGTTATTGTTGTTGTTGCCATTTGATGATGGTTCACATTTTCAAAGTTTTCCAAAAAAACAAGCGTCCGGAGGACGGGGACTTGCAGGAAGGTATGTGTTGCTTTTACTGTGTGTTTCATACCAAGTGGTTAAGCAGGATCCTTTACATCTGTCTCCAGCAGGATCCTGAAGATTTGAGTCGACCCTTCCCCCCATCTGTTTACAAATAACTGAGAGGCCCTACCCCTCGCTAATGTTTACGAAGAAGATACCTCCCCCTAAGGTGCTAACGTAGTAATTGAGACATATGCGTCATGTGAGGTGTGGTGAGAACTGCAATATTCTGAGGAATACTTGAAGTAGTCGCCACATTAAGAGGTTATGTACTATTGTAGTTGTCACCTGGAACATCCTCTCTGAATTGACAGTTCTTGAATGCGATCAGGATAGGGTTAACATAAAGGCAACCTTTACAACAAGAGTAAACATATTGGCTTGGAAATTTTAACGTTGATTCTAGGCTTCGTTGGTGGGCAAGATTCATTACGCACGGATTGGATGATTAGTTGAAACGGAGTCGTCAGAGCGATGTATTTAAACGCAAATTCGCTGGTGATTTGTCGCATTCTTAACCTGCTTGCAATTGAACAGACGCATTTTTTGTTCTCCCTTCACCTCTGGCCATTTCAGCTCTTTATCGAATGCTAGGCCCTGTCCCCCTTTTGTTCATCATGCATACTGCATAGCCATCACCATCCAAGAACCGTCCAACAACCATCCAACCCATTAGTGAGCCGTCTCCCTTGCTTTAGGTCTGAACCTGGACCTGAAATGTTAGACATGCTCTGGCGATGTTAGGGAAGCTTAAACTTTTTTTCCAGAATTTTGTGATTGGCTTGCGTTCATGGTAATTAGGACGGTCCAAATAAGGAGCCATAATGCAGCCGTCTCGAGCGTTTAGCGAATGAAGTCTACAATGCGGTACAGGATGACGCACTTCCACTATACTCAACATTTCACCTTTGTCTTATACTAAGAAAGATGCACAAAAGTTGCACAAGCTGAGCTTACTGACATTATAATAAGCTTCTGGAATACACAGCCCCCACTCATAATATCCAATACTTGACAGGGTACTACGTTGTACTACTTTGGATAGAGCTCCGGTATTGTGACAATGTTGGACTATTTCCCGAGAGGAACTCCTACATTTTATCTGTTATCACATTGTTCAGTCCACATCGAATATATTTAATTGCCTTTCAGCGTTTATCTAGTAAAACTTTTAACATTGAAGTTGCGGGGCTAGCATGTGGACTATTTAAAACATTCCCGTCTACATTTGGTGTACATCTCTTCTGCGATATAACATATTTTGCTAGCATGTGTTTTTGTTATTATATTATATGTTATCCCAACAATTTCAAGTGCAAAAACATCATAACTGCAATGCGGCAAATATGTCGCAAATGTTTCAACCCCGTTAGAGGTAATAGCATTGGAATTTGGATCATAAGTAGAAAGTGACACACGTTAAACTGTTCGTGAGCCACATGCATTTCTCGGAATTAAAGAAATCTGGAAAGAATGACATTACAAATGAGTGGGGAACGGTTAAAGTTGGCTCTGTTGGGAGAAAGCTTTTATCTCTACTTTCACATAGTACCTTGTACCTACTCTACAAGGACACTGTCCATGTTGACGAGAGTGCCTACGGCATGACATAATTCAACATAATTCAACCTCACTAATAAATATAAGCTGCTCCACTTTATGATCATATTAGGGATATTATCAGTGCTCCCAGGTCAGTCAGTACTAACTTTCAGATGATATGTATCTGTTTAATCGATATAGCCAGCTTGCATCTTGCAATACTGATTGTACCTATATATTATGCTTGTTTCCATGAATTACACCGAGGTCGTAGAAGTATAAGCTGGTTTAAACATATTTGTTAAAAGGAAGGTTAGACTTATTGTCGTTATACCTTTGGTCGCTCTGTGCTAACTCTGCAGCCGGCCTTCATTCGGTAACTTTCCTTCGCCTTGCTAATGCTATTCATGGTCTGTTGCAGTCCTTTCCTGATAGTTTCACCCGTTTAAAAAGTAGTGCTCAGCTAAGGTTTATAAATGTGTCCATTTTAAACGTTGCAGGTAAAGTCTAACGATACTAATTTTCGGAACATTTTATTGCAGTTGGTCATTTTTTACCGTGTTGCTTAACTTTTTTGCAAGATTGGGAAGCAGACGATTTTTATTTATATCTTAATTAATGCTCTTTGTAATCAAATATGTCTCGTATTTGAAACTCCAATCATATACGTCTCGTATTTGAAATTCCAATCATTTCGTATTCGAAAGATTTTCTTGGATTTTGTCAGCGTATCAGAGTACTTGATTGTGCTGCTACAGTTACTGGTACTCGTGACTGTATGATATTGGAAGTTACAACACTCGTGCGTCCAGTGTGAAATACCTCAGCTACGAAAACTTTCGTCGCGAAAATGTTTGTCAAAATAAGCGTTCAGAATTATAATTTAGGGCTGAGTATGGCCGCACATGCCCAATTTAACATTAAGCCGGCATAATAAGAGCTGAGAGGGTAATAAAGTTACATTTTTGCCATTTTTGTTCAGTCGCGCCCTTTTTATTGTAACCTGTTAGCATTACAACAATCGAATACAGAGGTTGGTTAACTTCCGATCAGAATTTTATTGACTTTGATTATCAGTCGCAGCTGAGAGGAAACGCCGCATTCTTTGTGTGGACAAAGGACATCTATTCTTAGAAATTAACAATAATGACTTATCAGTATGAATAATTGGCATCATCTCAGTAATTACAGGATACATTGTAAGTCTCAGCGAAGAGTTTGTGGGTACCGGGTGGGCGAAGAGATGACTGTTAGCTTGTAGAGATACTGATATAGTAAATACTATATATTAACTCAGTCAAGAAAGTCTTGGCCAACAATTTAGTCAATAAAGTCTAAACTTATCCAATGTAGGTGCTCCAACCTATAACGTATAACGTAGTCGTTACCTTGACTACAAAGTCGTTACCATGGCTCCGTAGTCGTTACCACATGAAATAACAGTTCCCTCCTCAGCACTGCAATCATTACTTCGTGTACTCACATTGCCTTTATTGTGCTGCTCATTGTTGTATTACTCTTTACTGTACGAGCTTGTATAGCCCGGACTGTCCTCGTCACTGAAAGAATAAAGTGTAAACTATCCCTACTGAGCCCGTTATAGCCTGGCTTATAGCTGGCCTCTCATTCAGCTCCACGCATTGGTTGTGCGTGCTTCCTCCCAGGAGCCACTCTGTACCAATTGCTCGGAATTTGGCCTGGCGGTTCTAACTTGTAGCTATAACTTTGTACACAAAATTAGTTAAATAGCATTCCTAGCTAGTCGGATCATAGCTGTACTTCCTCATTGCTAAATATCAACACTTAGCTTAGGCCTCCATACCACTGCGCTCTCTGCTTACCTCTCGTCACTTTTCTATTTGCCAGAGTGTAAAACCATAACAGTGCGCCTAACTTACCCTACTTTAGTCTGTGAGCCTGAAGGCGGAGACATCTCTAACTGATTGCACACGTGTCGCCCAAAGTGATCACATAATTATGAAATATTATTTTGCTCGCACATCCTATTTTTGATTAAGTAAACAAAGTGTAAACAGCACATACCCACTATCATACTGACAGTGTGTGTTTGTACAAGGGATTGTGCTTTTAGTCACCACATTTGAAGCTTGTCTTGTTGCGGAGGAGGACGATGCCTATCACCAAGCTGAAGATTGGTAAGAAGAGCAAGAAGGACAGCACCAAGGAGAGTAAGAAAACTAGTGATGCAGCAGGCAGCAGTAAAGGGTCAGGTGAGATACATTTAATCAAAGTGCGGCTCCATAAAACACCAAGCTTAGTTGACACTCTTTTTGACACAATGTATACACGAAACGATGAAATGGCAAATGTTAATAGACCAGTTTATAATTCCCTATTAAATGGTCTCTAATCGACGGACAAATGTTTCGTTTTGTTGTCCCGGGGCTCTATTTTAGGGTTGAACAGTTTAGTCCTTGTTCTTGTTACTGTCAGACACTCATACCATCTGGAGATGCCCTGTTGTTAGGCGCTCATACCATCTGAAAATTTGCTACGCCCTGTTGATCGTTTAGCCAAGCGACTAGATTCTAAAAATAAATAGTCTTCATCGAATTGGGTAGAAGATCAGTTTCTTTGTTTACTTATTCAACCTCGCTTGTCCAATGTCTAAAGCCTTATCAAAATTACAACTCTACCGGTACTAAGATTCTGATCAATTGCAGTTTTATCAGCAGTTAATTGGCAGCTTATATGGAGGTTCATTCCCACAGCTATACTTGTTCTCTCAATATGTTTTGGGTCGGGGGGCTCTTTGGAGCCCACAAAACACCACCTGACTCTCAGTTGTGCCAGAGCTAGAATATATCAGCTACGAGCCCCAGGTGCCCGCCACTCGACCACTTACATAATCCTGTAATGATTGAGATGTTGCCGACATTTTAGAAGCCATGTGATCTGCCTAATTTGGTATTGCATAACGAGAAACGTCTGAAGCGTTACTGGGTGTTTAAGAAATTTATGACATCATAAAGATGTTTTGCTGGAGGTATTTAAGCTGCCAACCAAATTTTATGGCTTTTTCGCGGGGGTTTTTTTTCAAAAAATTTATAGATTCTAAGAAATAATTTTTTGTTTGTTTCATATTTTAGTGGTTACTCAAAAACTTAGAATCTATAAAACTTAAATACTTTAAAAGGTGAATCAGAAAAAATTAATGGTCTCTTCACGATTTTTTTTCATACTTCCGTGGTTATTCAAAAAAATATTAATCTAAAAATCTCAAAAATTTAAAAGCTTTAAAAGGTGGATCAGAAAATAGGCTTTTTAAGTTCATCATAAATGAGAATCGATGATCTAAAAGCTTCAAATTATAATGATCGCGTAACAATAAAAGAATACATTCTACTATAATCTTGAGCAACAAAAAAGACAGTCGATTATTCAACAAGAATTGCACGGTGTTCGTTCTTAATATAGATCTGATCCTTTCGGTT